AGTCAAAGGAAATTGCATTAAACCGGTTTAGCAACTGCAAGTGTTTATCAATTTTCCTTTCAATATAAACAAATAATATAAAATAAAGTAACTCTTATTTATTTTCCATGAGGTCTGGGGATACAGCCATACAGGATCTGGATTTCTTTGATGTCAATAGTACTCAAATGCGTTCTCTGTCCAAGCACCACACCTTTTATCTTTGGTACAATAACTGGCTTGCTTCTATCTTTAGCAAACGAATAGGCACTGTAGTGCATGATAGATTGGAAATCGTACGGTTGGTTCAATTCATCGATATTTGAAGATTTGAACTTGACGAAGTTATGTTCCTGACCTGAAACGTAAAAGAATGAAAACGTAAATGTAAATAAATTTGAAAAACAGCCATGTAACTAATGCTCATAATTGCCAGACACCTGATGGTAGTGTTCGTATAAGTTTGTGATATCTTGATATATTTTTTTACTGCTAATCTTGACATCCGAGCTTCACTACAGTCATTATCATAATCATTGTTGCTCCGGACAATTTCTGCTCATCCGGGTGCCACTGTACGACTGCGTTTGTCATCTCTCACGGAAATTTTACTAAGTATGAAATGCGGTCACGGTAAATTTGGTCATACAAGTTTATAGGCCATATTACTAAGGTTATTGGGTAACAGAGTAAATATGCCATAGTAATTAGGTCAAAATTGGTCACATTAATATGATCACAAAATATTAGTTATAGTAGTCTATTGGTAATCATACAAGTTTCCTAACCTTTTTGGATATTGCTGTAATCTACAGTAATATAGTTATCTCTATCGTGACGACTCTGTTCGTGGTATGTTCCAAGGGCATGATTAATTTCATGCATAACGACACCAGTATGTAAACAGCCACGCCCTAATGTAACGGTTGATGAAGTGTGACCTTTTCCAATCGGGGTATGACATCTGAAATAGTGACGCTCGAAGCAATATGTTGACTATGAACTAACAGGGCCTTTAGACATGATTCTAAAGATAAAGTATAACTCATAACAGCATATCAGATAAAATGTAGGTAATATAAAAACATCTGTCTTGAGATAAATCGGACGAAATGATACCGCTTTCAAGATCCGTTCTCAAAATGAATTAACCATGAATTGATATGGGTAGTACTTTAACTTACCCTGTACCCGATTCAAATCGAATATACTGTCTCTCATTATTGTGTGGTGTAAAGTGGATACATATTTTACCGTTAACTTTAGTTTTTTCTTCTATAGTCCGCATAGCGTTTCTGATCGTGGCTTGATCATTGGAGGCTGTTGAAAAGATTACTGCTTAGAATGTGGACTAGATCTTTGGTTCCCAGCCTGGGATGCACCTCATGGGATAACTGAAAGACTTCTTGAACAATTTTAAACAGTGCTGTATTATAATAGCAGATATCTCTCTCCACAGAGTGAACAATCAAGGCGTGGGAAGGGGTACCTGGTGCATCTGAACGCAGAAAAGGGTACAAAGACTTTCAAGAAATACAAAAAAAATGACTTTTAGTAACCTCGCGGATCACATTGAGTATTCCGCAGATAAGTTATTATGAAAAGTGTAACAGAGAACAAATATTGGGCATCTCAG